GCGGGCTCAGTCATTGTAGCTCGCGGGCTCTAGGGTGCAGGCTCAGTAGTTGTGGCGCACGGGCTTGGTTGCTCCGAGGCATGTGGGATCTTCCCGGACCAGGGCTCAAACCTGTGTCCCCTGCATTGGCAGGTGGATTCTTAACTACTGCGCCACCAGGGAAGCCCGATGGTAATGTTTTATACTATTTATTCTCAGAGTTGGGAAGATTTGGTGGAAGACCTGAAATGATAGGTGGAGAAGACTGGACTTAGGCAGCTGTTCGTCAGGTTTGAAGATAGAGTTTAAGTATAACTTGTTTGTCAGATAAGATTGATACATTCCACTAATGTTTTCTGAAAGTTTCTACCTTTTAGAAACATTTACTTTTGACAGTCTTGTTGACTTTTTTTTAAAAAAAGTAATTACAGTCTGAACAGTTTATGTATTCCATTTATGTATGTATTCTATACTTTAAGAATAGACCTTTCTACTGGGCCTGATATGCAACAGTAATGTAATACGGAAATAATTATTGATGTGATATAGCAAATTTGTCTCTGTTACAGGTTGGCCTTGCTATCAAACCAGGAACTACAGTTGAGTATTTGGCACCGTGGGCTAATCAGATAGATATGGCCTTGGTTATGACAGTGGAACCTGGGTTTGGAGGGCAGAAATTCATGGAAGATATGATGCCAAAGGTAAAAGAAGTATTTGGTTCTGGGGTAAGGCTTTTATTCTGTAAGTTCATTCAGTAAGCATTTATTGGGCTACTTGTATGTTTAGACCTGTACTGTTCTGAAGGTGGGGAGATGAGGATGCCTATATATCATTGGAATACAGTATGAGAAATGCCCCAAGAGATTTAGGTTTGGAGATCATAAAAGATACTACATCTTAGTCTTGAAAATTTTTTTCAAAACCGTTATCTCTGTAACCTTGAGATCTCTTGGGAGTTTTCATTGAATATTGAGGGTTTTGTCTTTGTCTTGCTTCTGTGAAGTATATTTTCTGCAAAGCCATGACAATTGAATGCCATTTGCCAAACAGAACAAAGCTTGCTTTCATAAAACTTAGTTTGTTACAGTACATTAAAAGCTGGTTTTCCCCAGTCATAATTTGTATTGATATAAAGTTATTGTCTGAGACATTTGGAGTCATATTTTAGTGGCTAATATCAGTGATTTTTTATTTGGTGTTTTTCCCTCTACCTATCCACTTAGTCACTTATTTCCTTGTGTATAACTAGGTTCACTGGTTGAGGACCCAGTTCCCGTCTTTGGACATTGAGGTTGATGGTGGAGTAGGTCCTGACACCATCCATAAATGCGCAGAGGTGAGACTGCTTGACTGCAACCTAGACCAGTTTCCTATCAAACGTAATGACAGGACAGGTCTTGTCTGCCATAGAGACTTACTAAACAGGCTTTCTTTCTTAGAAAAGTATTTTTTTTTTTTTTGCGGTACGCGGGCCTCTCACTGTTGCGGCCTCTCCCGTTGCGGAGCACAGGCTCCGGACACGCAGGCTCAGCGACCATGGCTCACGGGCCCAGCCGCTCCGCGGCATGTGGAATCTTCCCGGACCGGGGTACGAACCCGTGTCCCCTGCATCGGCAGGCGGACTCTCAACCACTGCGCCACCAGGGGAGCCCGAGGAAAGTATTTTTTTGTTTAAATGTAAAACCAGGAAAATAAAGAGCGATAAGTGAATATTCTGAAACCACATAATCATTAAATAGTAAGTCCTGGTTATCTCAGTAATGAAAAAATTCTTTGGAAAGGAATAAGCTGAATGCCAGCCTGTGGAATATCATTGAAAAGTTCCAGGGCCTTTGAGACAGTTTTCCAAAATAGGGAGAGAAAACATACCTGCTTGTAAAGGGGAAAAAGAGTGTTATTCTGTAGAACTTAGGTGTATTAGCTACTGATTTGTCCCTTGCAAGCTACTAAATCTGTCCCTCTGTAGAAGTGGGATGACTTTTTTTTTTTCAAGTGGCTAGCTAGGCTGAGTTAGGCTCTGAACTTCATAAAAGGATACCAGCCCTCCCTGTAGCATTACAGGTGATTAAAGTTTATGTGACCTGCTTTTATTAAACAGCATGGTCTAATCTGCACTTTCAGTGTTTTGTATAAATGCCGCACTTTCCTGCTTGTTACTTATCAAAAGCTTGACTGTGGTCAGTATGGAGGAGGTGCTGGCCAGACGATTAGTGAGCATGTATCCTTTGACCCCTTGTGGAATTCTTTTTTACTGAACTGTGCTTTGTCATTAATGCTGTTCTTGCTTACATTACGAGGCATGTTAGGTTGTAACCCTATAAAACTAGTATTTTTTTCTTTTTTTATGAGGAACGTTGTTAGAGATGTAGTGTGCTGTATCATAGGGTGAGTGTCTCTAATTGGAGACATTTTCCTTAGCTTCAGTGGTTCCCCCCAACAGTCCTCCCTTTCTTTTAGCACCGAATCACATAATAGATTGGATTTCCCTCCTTGAGTCAAATCCTAGGAATCTCAGAGATAAATTTGGACTCATCTTACTTGGTTTTACTCTGACTTCTTTGCTTTCATATTGAAAAACATCTTGAAAATCTTTTTTAAGCCACCTCAAAAGCATTCTGGAAGGCAGTGAAGCATATATAAGAAGTTCTATTCCTTCTGGCCTCACAATGAGAAATAATTTAATGTTGCCCTGTTTTATGGATTCTTTCACATTTTAGCAATAATTGTCCTTTTAGACCACCTACCAATTCTTATACATAATTCAGAGATGAAAAGGTTGATTTTTAGGAGCTGTGGGGGGAATTGGTATACAGGGGAAGACCTTAATAGATTTAAGGATTAAAGGTTTATTAGAAAAGATGCAGTGTAGTTTATTTAGAGGGGGTTACCAAAAAGTCAGTGATTTCTTAGACACATTTAAAAATAATTTCACATCCTCATTTAAGCATTTTCTTTTTTCATTGAACTAGCTGCTTAAGTATGTTCATCTTGAAGTGGCTTTTTTACAATTAAAGTGCTGACTGCCAGCTGCAAGGGTAGAGGAAACTCTAGTCCAGGAATTGTTTTAGGTTTTTCTGCATCTTCCTTTGAGGCATAACCTTAAGTGTTTACTTCTTCCAGGCAGGAGCTAACATGATTGTGTCTGGCAGTGCCATTATGAGGAGTGAAGACCCCAGATCTGTGATCAACCTGTTAAGAAATGTTTGCTCAGAAGCTGCTCAGAAACGTTCTCTCGATCGATGAAACCACAAGGAGTCCAGGGTTTCTGCTTATGAGATCTCCTTTTTTATTGGAAAACAAGAATATTGACTACCAAATCATACCACAGTTGAGGCAGTGCTGCTTTTCCGAGCAGTTACTCGTTCCAGTGACTAAAATCCATTTTGCAGAATGTTCCAAGAGGTTAGAAATTGGTGTGTATTATGTTTTCAGTGATGGAATTTAAAGATTAGTGTGGTAAAATACCATCTTTACTGGGAGACTTGATTTTTATAAAGAGTAAAAATACGGCTGTATCAAGGTTATGAACAGAAATGTGTCTTAATGCCTAAGGAAGGCATATTAGCTACTATGAAAAAGAATTTTTTTTTCTGTATTTCTAAAAAGAGTTTTCTTTGCTTCTTGGCTTTTCTGAAAGCAAAGGAAGTCCTGTTTTTCCGGTTTCGTCTCATTCTTGATTTGTGTATTTGCGTGATAACTAAGTTTGGATGTGGCTGGGATGGATGGCTCTTCTAGCTTCGAAAACATGTATTTTTTACTTTGCACCTTATATTTGATACATAAAAAAACCCGAGTGTATTATGAAGTCCAGGGATTTTCAGGTGGTCTGTTGTAAAACGCAAGCACAAGTTTTATCAGGGTGTTTTCTTTGTTAATTTTGCTATAGCGGCAGGTTATTCAGTGGTTCTTCCCCCACCCCCTACCCACCCTCCACCAACCCCATTTCCCCTTTTTCTTAATCACACCCGCTGTTCTGAAGGCCATAAAATGTTTTCCTAGCTCTATGCTAAAAGGAAAGGAAGGCCTCTATTTGGAAGTAATATTAAGTTGAATCCTGACTCTCTTCCCCTTTCTATTTGTTCGACCTTAGCAGACCAATCCAGCCAACCTCTTTGAGCTGATTATTAACTGATTTATACATTGAATGTAATCATAACAGTGGGGGGGTTGTGTTTAGGATTAAGAGATACTATTAATTATATACGTAAAGCTTCCACTACTATTCCTAGAATTGTAGGGTAGTAGAATTTGAGGATGCTCAATACAAAGTAGCTATCATTATATACATGTATGCTTTGTAGATTATAAAGTATGGTGATGATATCTCATTAAACCCACAAATCAGTCCTATGAATGGTACGACAGGTATGTTTGTCCCCATTTAAAAAATGAAGATACTAAATAAAGCTCAACAGGCTGGTACCATGGAAAGGAAGGATCCAGTAAAGAATAGGATTTCTGGTCTGTACTCTTTTTACAGATGGAGCCCTTGGGAGGTGGATAAGCAAAGGAAGCTTCTTTTACTTAACGTTCTCTTATTTCCAGTCTAGCTTTACCCTGTAGCAAAACCAGATAGCTGAGAATATTCTGCAACTATGGATTTTGACTCCAAGGATATATATTTTATTACTCCAAGAAAGACCAGGTAGGCTAATATATGGCAAGGTACAGAGTTAATCCGTAAACTAAATGTTTATAATAATTGTGTCCCAAATTACACGTTGACAATAGATACATATTAGCTACTTCGTTCTTGTAAATACTCTTGCTGTGTAATACACATGGCAAGAAATAACAGGACCAGTGTCATTAAATTTTTTTCAGGCTACTATGAGTGAGTTTTGAGAAATAAAGTTTGGAAAATAAGAATGTTAACACTTAAGCATAGAATAGAGCTTGCCTGGTTTCTTCTGTGTTACAAGGTAAAAATTTATTTCTTACTGTTTTTCTTTATTTGGGCTTAGGAAAGGCTTGTGCCACACACATAGGTGACATTTAATCAAATCAAACAACACAAGGCATATAGAAATAACTTTAATTAAAAAAACTTACATAGAAGATTATAATATGTCATGACAAAAAAAATCTGAGTTTATTTGCCTGGACAACTTGGGTTTGTTCTGGATTTTGTTTTCTTTTTTAAAATATAAATGTACGGTAAAACTACAAGCAAAAATTAGTCAGCATTGAACTGGAAATTTTTTTCTTCTCCTTCTTTAAAGGGACTAGTACAATTTCTAATCCCTAACAAAAACTTAGTGTCAGATCCCCCAGATTAGGCCAGTTGGCTAGGATTGTCAGTTATATGGGTACTACAACTTGAATAACCTTTTTTACATGAGAAAAAGTGATTCATATAAATTGTCCTCAGTTTTTACATATAACAAAATGATATAATAGTGTCAAAAGGAATTTTACTTAATGTACACTCCAGTATCCAATATTGAAGCATTAACCTTTTAAAAATTTTATTTCTCACTCTAGGATAGATGCTTATTTGAATAGAGTAAGGAATGGTAGGGAATGACCAAAATAACTAAAAGTACAATAATATACTAACAGGAATTTCCTGTCTGTTGCTCATTTTAAGTTGGGTGTTTTCTCTTCACGAGATACATAAAATAGATAAAACTCAAGTTGAGTTTTAAAAGGTGTGGTAGTTTTACAATACAACAATATTTAACTACTTTGCTTTTCTTATTCTGTTAGGCGTGAATAGAAAATAACCTGTGTTTAACCCAACAGATATCAGTGATTTAAAATGAAGGAGTATCGTGTTTTCTGGTATAGAAATTTCCATAAATAACTTCTATCGGTTAAACGTGTTTTTTTAAAAAAATTCCTTCTCCATAGTCAAGGCTTATAGATGTTCAACACCATTGGAAATCTCTTTATTTATGGTTCAGCTGATATTTCATGGGGTAGTTCATACGTGCATTTTCAAGTGGAGTGGTCACTTGCAGTGTTTTTTAAAACTACTTACATGTGTGTATTATGTATGCATGTATACTCTATACACGTGTTTTATATTCTTAATATATTTCTGAGGCAATTTAAAGAATAACCACGTGTATAGAAAAAGAAGAGCTGTCATTTGATGAATAGGTATATGTGGGTGTGGGTATAAGTTGTTTAAAAATTATTATTATTTACCCAGTAATGTGCTTTGACATCAAATTGCAGCAGTTAATTTTCTGGTGCTTGTGATCTGCATCAAACACAAATGACTAGCACTTGTCTGTAGGTGAAAAGCTAGTTACTCCTGTGGTTCAGGAGGGAAAATGAGACGTAACTTGCCTGTTTCATAAACAGCACAAAAGATTAATACATGCACCTGCACTACATGCTGTTACTCTGGAATTGTGACTGTGCAGGGGGTGGGGGAACAGGGCTTATTTTTTCTCCTGTTTTCCCATTCAGTTACATCATTTTCTTAACCTGTTCCCTGTCACTGATTTTTCTTAACGTGAGTTGAGTAAGTCCTAGACCAAGGGTTTTGTGTGTGTTCCTCCATTTCGTCCGCCTGCCTTTGTGGATTGTGGCCATTCTCTGGTGCACTGGTACAGAAGACTTCACCATGGAAAGCTGGACTTGATCTTTCAATCTGATCATTTTTTTCATCTTGGCATAATAAGGCTGCTATGTCTTCATCTTTCAGCGGAAAAGCCCGTCGTTCCCACCCCAAAGGCTGAAAGAGAAAACGTTTTCAGTTAAGTTTCAGCTAATTTGTTTAAGTTCATGTCTCAATCTGTAGCTCTCAGTTTTGTAATAACCATTGTTCTGTTCTTTAGCAGATAAAAGTACAAATTCTCATTTGGTCCTGAGTGTCTAGCAACTCAAAATATCTAGCAACTCAAAATGGAACGTACTGAGGATTACTTAGGGACCTTTGGGAATTATTTTTTTTTCACTTTGCCTCTTCCACGGAGAGGTAAACGCTGCTATTAGGGCACTGGTCTTCATTTTCAGCCTAGGAGCACTTTAGGGAAGGCCCTTTAAAAGTGTTTGGATCGTCTTCCTCAGTATCTCCATTTTCATCCCATCATTATTACAGACCCCTATTGACTTTTCTTTCCCTGTGCTTTCTATGACTTGCCTATTAATTTCTATTGTCGCTACTCTCTTGATTCTAGATATGGTTCTTTTCCAACACCTACTGATGAAGAAAAGTACAAGAACTTTATAGATGCAGTGTTAGAAAACACTCCCATTGGGGTTAAAACTGGACAAATGGGGAGACAAGTAAAAATCTTTTATAAGGGGAAGAGAAATATCTAACATTTACTATGTGCCAGGTGTCATTCTGTTTAATCCGATTTGGTTTGTAATGAAACTTTGATAGAATTCCCATTTTCTAACACATAAGTGAACAGGTGGAATTAGGTACTGACGTGTTACATAAAGAGTCAGGGAAGTGTCTGTAGTTAGTGATGGAACTAGAACGCTGGAACACAGAGCCTCTGATTCCTACACCCAGCATTCTGTACTGGGCTGTCATACTGAATTTGTTACGTAATGATGACTCCTTAATTATCAACAAGGAATTCTATAAACAAGTTTTTAGAAGTCAATTAAAAGGAGGTTTAACTAGTTATGTATAACACTCCTACCTTGATCTCTTGACTCTGACTTACTGAAGGTGAGGCGTGTGCACTGGGGTCCTGGCTCTCTGGAGGCCCGGCGGGACTCTCAGCAGCGCTGTGCTGCCCACCACTGAAGTCGTTAGGGTATTCTTTCAAAAGCAAGTCCTGTCCTTCAACATTTTTACTGTAAGCTCTAGCAAGAAAATATTTAATTATTTGTTGATGTCTTAACGTTGTATGAACAACCTAAGGTATCGTTCATAAAGTCAGTTGAACTTGGTAGCTTTTCTTTAAACAGCTCTGCCCAAAAGATTGTAAAAAATTCATCTGCTGATCTTCCTGATGTTATCCTCACATCTCAAAGACTTCAATAGTATTTTATGAAATCTTTTGCCAAATTATTATAGTGGTTTTGTTTTGTTACAGTTTGGGGTTTTTTGTTTGTTTGTTTTTTTCCAGAAAACAGGAAAAGACAAGTTACTTGACTCTTACAGTCTGAGTTCCCAGAGTATCCTATGGTTATCGTAATGTCGTCCATGAAGGACTCAATTCACATTTTCCTCTATACTTTTGGAAAACTGTATCTCTGGAATGTGGAGAAAGTTGAGAACAGAATCTCGTGTATGTTAGGATAACTCTTAGAATAAGGCTCTACAACAAATCTGGGTATCTTGAGACCTAAACAGAGAAATGTGTTTTACAAATAATAGAGAGATGCTCCACACTAAAGTGACTATCACATTTCAACATGATCTTGCATTTTGAGTTTTGGCTATATTAAAAAATAGTCCAGTTAAATATAAAATACCAGGGATTTTCTCAAATACATGACTACTGATTATGTTGTTAGGATTTATCCCCCCTTCCCTCAAAGTCATGTTCCAAGTATTAGGCGATTTGCTTTTTTACCCTGGATAGGTTTCTTGAGGGTTTTTTTTGGTTTGTTTCTTTTTAAGAAAAACATTTCCGAAGTGGCTTTGTTACAGATTACCCAGATTCTAATCCCTAGTGTTAGGTCCACCATTACAGTACAGTGAAATGACCTATTTATGGAGAATTTTTCATATTGTTTGCTCAGTTAAATCTATTACTGAGGCTGACAATTAGCATGAGAAGTTGAGTGGAGTAAAATATAAAACTCCTTTCATCATTATGTAATTAGCCTGAATATATTTTTAATGTAAACTCAGTATAAGCAGTGTTTCACTTCTAGGGCACAAACAGCAGATGTTATATAGTATGTTTTCTTCATTTTCAGTGGTCTCCCTCGTTATTATGCAGAATTATTGGAGATTTCACATGGATTCCATGGTTTTGGGGTTTAAATTTACAACACCTGCCTGCTGTTTCTTCTGTGCCACTTGCTTTGCTCCCATAGTGACCATCTGGCTTGCTCTTTCTCTTCATATTTTTTGTGTCTTAGGGAGAAGACTGCATCAGAGAGGTCTTCTATCTGGAATTAGAAATAAAAAGTTTTGCTTTTATCAGAAACATTTTGAAACATGAGAACAGGTGTCAGAGTTCCTCATCAAGAGAACAATAGGAAGAAAACTCTAAAATAAATGCAGTCTAAGTCAGAGAACAAATGTCATGAGAGGAGGTTCATTCCTAAAAAGAGGGAGTTTAAAACTTTTTTACTGTTGGGTCATGTTTGAAGATTTACCTATAATACTTTTATAGTACCTTGAGTACATACAGGTTCACAGTGCTTTCCACTTACATAAAATATCCTTAATGCTTTATTCATCCAAAACCTTGTATTGATTGCCCCTTACGGAGTATACTGTTCGTGGAACATATGAATATCAAAGAAAGTAAAACTGTCTGAGGTAAATGAGAATTAGTTTAATGAGTTACTTATCTGGAGTTCTAAGACTTCGGGTGTGTTTCTGGCTAGGGTCATTCTGAACTAGAGAAGGGTGCATTAAAAGAGGGAAGGGCATTAAAAAGTAAATTTTGGTAGTTGAAAAACACGATCAGTTGGCACAGAAAGACTGTAATGGAAACAATGTCTTTTATATAATACCTGCTTCTTCAGACTATCACTTTGAATTAGTTTGGTTATATAGTATCTTTCCCTTTAATTTTTCTTGTCTTACTATAAGTTTTATCCATACAGGTCCACAGTCCCTTTCCTGTAATTCCAAAAATCTGAAAAAACAAGTTTTCATAATTCATTTGGTGACACAATCTTAGCTGAAATGATGTGGGGCTATTCTACTTTCTATTAATATTTCACTATAGAAACATTAATATTTGATTATGAGCACTGTCCTAGACTCCCTATATGTATTACATGATATATGTACCACAGTGCTTTCTAAAATCCAAAATTTTCCAAATTCAAAAGCAATTGTTCACAAGATTTTGCATATGGAATTGTAGGCTTGACTGTTAAACTAAATACCATGCAGAAAAATATGACTAATACTGGGAATTGAATATATTCACATAAATTCAATATTTCAATGACTCATGTAAGGAAATGGTATGTTTTGTTTTTGCTTTTCTTTATTCTTTATATATTTTGTCTTTGTAGCCAAATTTGCACAAAACACTTCCTAATCAAATTAATATCCTTAAAGGGGAACTTTCTTTTCATAAGTTTTGAAAATTTATAAAATCAGTGTATGTTCCTCAAATACCAAATTAAGCACATGGGAAAAAAAAATTAAGCAGGCTTCATAACATATTAAGGGCAGTAAGTGAAAGGCAGCTTACCTCTTCTTCACCCAAATTATATTCATCCAGAGGCTGAAGAACAACCATCCTCCAGCTGTTGAAGATACAAACGAATTTCAAACAGCTTTTGTTAATCTACCTAAGTGTAGCAATTTTATTCTGTAAGCACAGCTATTATAGTAGTGTTTTCTTTCTTTGGGATTTCCATAATTCAAATGGTTGTATCTTAGTACTTTATCTTTTAAAAGAGACAACGTATTTGTATTATGAGAAGAGGACAGGAGATGAGGCTTTACTTTTGGCCTTACAATAAACAGTCTCTTATACATAGTTGCGTTTTATACCTACGAATGTACTAATTTTGAAATAAGTTAGTGGTATGCTGACAAACTGGCTCAGAAAATAAAGAGGAAAAAAGCTCTGATTTTTAGCATTTGCCAATTTCTTTGTGTGAAGACTCCCATCATGGCCTCTTGTGAGTTTTTAACAGCCACATCACAGAATCCCTACGGGCTAAACAAGGTCAGCCAGCCGGCTCCAGCCTACCAGTGTAAATTGAAAACATTGTTGCTATAGAACATCTAACCACAAATGTTATTTTTTTACTTAATGTAGAATATGTCAACAAATTCTCTGCAGAAATTCTCATAATACCTCCTAGAGTATTAAGAGTTCTCTCAGTGCCTCAAAGCAATTATGAATAAAAGAATCAAATTAGTTAGAATAGAGATGGGTAGGAATTACTGTAATTGTCAACCAGCTCTTGTCTCTGTTTCCATCCTTTTCTATTTCTACTTCTTGGTGCCAGATTAATAATCTTAAACCTCTTTCATCATGGCTAAAAAAATGGACAGTTTGCTGCCAGCAGGAAACAGATCTGTGTGTGGCATTCAAGGACATCCACAATCTCGTGACAACTTTTTGAGCCGTTATTTCCTGTATCACCCTTCACAAAACCTCAGTCTCTGGCTTAGCCTTGCACAGGTTGTCACAGGTGTTATCATCTTACACTGCGAATACTCTATGCAAAGGTAGTTGCTTTCTTTGATCTCTGCAGCCTTGTGCATATCTCCATTTTAAGGAGCAAGGATTATCTGTTAGTGTAATTATTTACATCCTTAAAGTACCTTTTAGTACCATATATACAATAGGAAACTAAATATTGAATGAAAAAACTCTAAAAATGCTGAAGTATTAGGAATTTCCATTTCTTAATAAAACCTGAGAAAGTAGTGCTACTGTATGGCACTTCTTTTCAGCATGAGTAATGTCAAAGTTTCTTTCACCATTTTCCCTCCATGTAACCATGTAAGTGGGAGGAAGGCAGAAAGGAGCATCTTCCTTTCATTAAATAAAATTTTAACTTCACTGAAAATTTAAGTTTATTCAAAAAAAGAAGGAAAATTAAATAATGTAAGTATACATACCTTGGAGTAACTATTTCCTTATATTGGAGTTTCTCTAATTTAGCTGGGGCCACTAATGACATGGGAATCACAATATTATCTATATCATAAGAGCTCTCACTTCGCAATCGTCGTCGTGCTGTATTCTGCAAGACAGGATTGTAGTAGTTTTACAATAGTATTTGGTTACTTGTAATGATACTCTCCTTTTACGAGTTATATAAAGATAACATGGCAGTGCCTTTAAGTTTTATACATTGTTATGAAATCTGAGTATAAAATGTTAAGAAAAACAAGAAAGCATATGTATCTTCTATGAACCAACACATTTGTGTGTGGACACATTCAGGCCTATTTTTAAGACCATTAAAAATATGAATGCCTTAAAATACAAAACATCAGAAGATTGTACCATAAAGCACCCTAAATGTCAGTGAAATGATCTTTTAACAAACTCATTTTTTATTAGGAAAGGCTATGAAATGTTTGGTGAGCCTTTTAATAAAGATCGTTTTTACAATCTTCATTTATGTGTTCCTGGGTCCCTGAGCTTCATGCTGTTTTCTCTAAATCCTCCCACGTTTTAACCTCTACTCCCTACCAGGTAATGAAACAGAACAAAGTAAGAACACTGCTGGATTCTTATTAGCAAGATTATGCTTAGCATCATGTCAAGAAGTAGGGATGGTTATGATAAAGTTTAAAGTTTTTAGCATATGAAAAAAGCCATAACCAAGGACTAATGTACAATTACCTCCCTAGTTAAAAAAAAGTTTAATCAAATTTATTGCGTCTTAGTAAAATAATTCTGAATATGCTAATTATGTGCTAGTAAATAAGGCTGTTATAGATTAACAAAATATCTATAACAAGTTCCCCTCCCCCCCACCAGATCTGCCAGGTTTAAAAGTCATAAAGCTACTTTAAAGTTCACTGTACAAAAACCTACTTGTGATGATGAATTCTGGGTTCTTGATATAACACTGACATTAGTAACTGCAGTAAAATTGCTCTGGGATCCTGGTTCTGTGCGTTGAATAGCAAATTCTTCAAATCTAGTTCTTTCTCCTGCCATGGAAAGAACCATTGAGAATGTCATACATTAAATGTAACTGGTAGGTATTAGAATTTCTGTTTTCCTAGTTTGGTAACATGTGTTTCTTGATCTGTTTAGATTTTATTTTTTTTAATTCATGTATCAAAAATGAAAAAAATTAAGGAAATTTTATAAAAATCTTAGCCACAATCCTGCCACAATTTCCATTTTCTGGGGAATTGACAGTTTTTATCCAGCATATCCTTCTTTATTAATCTCCCTTTACTCTGTTCATGTTTTCTGTAACTTATTCAGAGGTTGAACTTCTAAGACTTACCTCTTAATTTTCTTGTCTATTCTCTGATTTTTTCATATCGTTTTCTACTTTTTGGGAGATTTCCTTAACTTGATCTTCTGACTACTGATTTCTGAAAATGTTTCTCCTATTATAACATCCTATTTCAGGAATAAAATTTCTCTTTTCTCTCAGAATATTGATAACAAAGTTAAGTTTACTTCCAACTTTGTTATTTTCTGTCTCTTCCACGTTCCTTTTCTCCATTTGTTTTGTGTCTATGTAGTGGTATATGTTTATTTTCTTACTGCCCTTCTTTATTTTACTTTAGTACAGATCTTGAAAAATATTTTCCTGTGTAATGTAAAATTTAATACACAGTTCATATTTATATTATTCCAGTTGTTTAAAAATGTCCTTTCTGGCTAGTTGTTTCTTCAAATCAGTATCCATATCTTGAAAATGGTTGTCTAGAGAGCTGTCTAGTTACTTCTTTGTAGTACAGCATTTTACTCATTCTATTCCTATGTTCCCATCTAGCTAAAAGTTAGATCTATCAATTCAAGTAAAACAGTCTACATCTTAGGTAATGTGTATTTTTTCATAATGCATCTTTATATTAAGAGATACAGGTTTTCCTATATTTTGGCAAAGATGTATGAAAGTTCCTCAAAAGCTAGATGACTGTTGGTTATCTTAAGGTTAAGGCACCAAAAAAGCATAATGATATCCCTGAATGTGGGTGGGAGTTTAATTTTGTTCCACACTAGTTGATCAGGTAGTGTGATATTAGGTAGTGACTTTGGTCTGTTATGGTGGGATTTCTAGAAGCCATACTGGTAAATATGTTAAAGCCACCGTGTATAATTACAGTTAAGTACATCTTGGATGTAAATAGTTTCTAATTTATTGGGTGTATTGACATACTATACCTCGGACATACTTGACTAATGTATATAGCGTTAGATCCACTGGAACAATGAATAAGAACCAATAGGGTATACAGATAATTTGTTATTTAATACACACCTTTCCAGTTAAGTTTTATATTTTATCATTATTTGCAATAACTGTTGAAACTATCTTGTCCCAAATCCCCATAACAAACCCATTTTGTATTACTAGCAGGGTTCTAGTTTCAGAGGTATCTCTATTCATCTTGGAACTGTACGTTCCTAAGGGGAATTCAGTCAGGCGGTTGAGTTACCTTAGATGAATCTCACCCAGTTTATCAAAATTCCGAGGAAGCTTCAGGGAAATCAACATCTCCACAATAGGTACCAGAAATGGTAATAAATATCTAAAAGGCAACCTTGTACTGACATATTTTGAGTCCAGAACACAATGTTGGAGACTAAGTACTGTCCAGGAGGACAGTTAGTAGAAGATAACTCTAGTTAGGAAACACAGGTAGAAGATAACTCTAGTTAGGAAACATAGGAAGGAAATCCTTAACTCACAAAGTGGATGGATTCCCAGTCCACAAATAATTCTGAATTGACTACATGAATATGCTGTTTAATGTTCATAGAACCATGGATGTTTTGTGTAATTAGTGACTGTTCTAGATTATAACTCCCATGAGGCAGAGGTTCTTTGGAAATCAGAATTTTTTATTTTCAGTTTTTAGTACTAGTGCTCCTGTCCTCATTTTAACCTACCTAATGCTGTTTCACTCAAGTGTCTTTTCTTTCTTCCCTGTAACAGCTGTGCAGAAGATTCTGACCTCATTTGAGGCTTGCATATAGGAGAATATCCATTTCTCCATTGATTCAGAGAAGTATTATGTACTGAAAAGGAAAGAAAAATGTGAAGTTTTAGTTCCTTAACACAAATATAATGAGCATGTTAACCTCTTTTTACTTTGTAACATTGCAAAATATTAATATACCAGTTCAAAATTATATATAATGAAGTAAATACTTACATACGAAGATGAAATACTCCTAAGCTGAAAATAACCAAAGTAAGATTCATTAAAAACATCTTCAGGAAGTGCTCAATTTCCTATAGTTGCTCCATTATGTGAAGAGGATGAAGAGGAAAGTTGATCTGTTCTCACAGTCTTCTAAATTACAGAATTTTACAGAGAAGATTTGTTCAGATCTGTAAATCTTGGCTGAATATGATCTGAATCCTTAAGTTAGTTCCTGCTTACCTCAAATCTGGGAACAACTCAGGACTAAGTAAGATTATAGAATGCAACAGACTGGGATCTCTTGAGAGCAATAACCAGATTTCATCAATCTCCTGACAGTGCCTAGCACCATTCTTTCACTTTTTAAAGCAATGAATTTTTTAAAAACTTTAAGTCACTTAATATCTCTGTGCCTCAGTTGCCTTATCTGTAAAATAGGGATAATAGCAGCTATTGTGGGATTGTGAGGATTAAACAAATTCCTGTAATAGTCATTAGAAGGATATCTGGCATAAGTATGCAATAAATGTTAGTTTCACCATGACTGTTGTTCTGTCTGAACCCCATATTTCCAGTACTGGATAAATAACTAAATTGGCTTCTTTTTTTGAAATGTTTGGAGATGTGGAAAGGATAGGGAAAAAATATGAAGGCCTAAGTGCCAAATTCTCACCAACACTGAGAAAAAAGAGTATGGTCTACCAACAGTGACTGGGACTCAGATTTCAAGATGGCAAAGCACCCTAAAAATGATAGACAAAATTTTTATACATAGATGCACAGATCGGCACATTTACATCCACGTTAGCATGCAAAAAAAAAGGAATTTTAAGTAGAGTGGAATTTGTGAGCAATCTCTGAAAGCCTAATATCTTACGAAATTTGAGAAGTAAACTGCAAAAGCACATGGGAAAGTACTGCCACAAAAATGTGATCAAAATCAAAGGCGCTCCAGACCTGGAGGAAAGAAAGAATTACCTGCAGTAACTAATAGAATGACTACACTTGCCAGCCTGCCAACACCTCCACCAGGGTCCTTGAGGCTTCAGTAGAGAAATGGATGGGTGGGTAGATAAGGCAACGCCCGGTGCCCCACTTTGTTTGAAACATGTCCTGCTCATCCATAACTGCCTCTGAAAACAGTATAGAGTGCAAATTTCTACCTCTTCCATGAGAAGGATCCCACAAAAAGCAGTGGCAGAAGTTGTAACAGTGAATATCAACTTTAAAGATGAGAACACAAGACTCCAAAAATCTGAATACCAGTAGCGTAAAACAAAGAAAAGGTACAAACAACAAATGGAAGAACCATCTCTAGAAATAGTTAATGGGTTCACAGAATACAGATTTACAGGTCTTCAAAATAACTAATATTGCCAAGAGAAAGAGGCAAAAGGCCAAGAGACCTCAGAAATGGGAAGTATACTTGTTGAAATTGTGAAACAAAATCATTGCTCACTGCCCTGAATAACAGAATGGTCATATCTAAAAGTCAAGATCATTGGATTGGAAGAGTAATTCCACAACTCAAAGGAATAGAGTGATGGAAATATGAAAAAAAGGACAAACCAAATAGGTTAACAAAGGATTGAATAGAATGAATGGGATGTAATATTTGAAGAAATGATAGCCAAAATTTTTTACACATTGATATTAACTCTAATGTTTCAATAACTCACTTGAGCATCAAAGCAAATGAAAAAAAATATATATATATAGCACATAAGTATGAAGACATCCTAAAAGTTACCAGAGAAGGGAAAAATTACTGCAAAGGAATGAGAATCAGATTGCCAGAAAGCAAAAGCACAAACCCACAGCCAACATCCTCAGTGGTGAAAAACTGAAAGCATTTCCACTAAGATCAGGAACAAGACAAGGTTGCCCACTCTCACCACTCTAATTCAACATAGTTTTGGAAGTTTTAGCCACAGCAATCAGAGAAGAAAAGGAAATAAAAGGAATCCAAATTGGAAAAGAAGTAAAGCTGTCACTGTTTGCAGATGACATGATACTACACATAGAAATCCTAAAGATGCTACCAAAAAACTACTAGAGCTAATCAATGAATTTGGTAAAGTAGCAGGATACAAAATTAATGCACAGAAATCTCTTGCATTCCTATACACTAATGACGAAAAATCTGAAAGTGAAATCAAGAAAACACTCCCATTTACCATTGCAACAAAAAGAATAAAATATGTAGGAATAAACCTACCTGAGACAAAAGACCTGATTGCAGAAAATTATAAGACACTGATGAAAGAAATTAAAGATGATACAAATAGATGGAGAGATATACCATGTTCTTGGACTGGAAGAATCAACATTGTGAAAATGACTACTACCCAAAGCAATCAACAGATTCAATGCAATCCCTATCAAACTACCACTGGCATTTTTCACAGATCTAGAACAAAAAAGTTCACAATTTGTATGGAAACACAAAAGACCCCGAATAGCCAAAGCAATCTTGAGAACGAAAAACAGAGCTGGAGGAATCAGGCTCCCTGACTTCAGACTATACTACAAAGCTACAGTAATCAAGACAGTATGGTACTGGCACAAAAACAGAAAGATCAGTGGAACAGGATAGAAAGCCCAGAGATAAACCCATGCACATATGGTACCTTATCTTTGATAAAGGAGGTAGGAATGTACAGTGGAGAGCCTCTTCAAAAAGTGGTGCTGGGAAAACTGGGCAGGTACATGTAAAAGTATGAGATTAGATCACTCCCTAACACCATACACAAAAATAAGCTCAAAATGGATTAAAGACCTAAATGTAAGGCCAGAAACTATCAAACTCTTAGAGGAAAACATAGGCAGAACACTGATATAAATCACAGCAAGATCCTTTTGGACCCACCTCCTAGAGAAATGGAAATAAAACCAAAAATAAACAAATGGGACCTAATGAAACTTCAAAGCTTTTGCACAGCAAAGGAAACCATAAACAAGACCAAAAGACAACCCTCAGAATGGGAGAAAATATTTGCAAATGAAGCAACTGACAAAGGATTAATCTCCAAAATTTATAAGCCACTCATGCAGCTCAATAACAATAAAACAACCCAATCCAAAAATGGGCAGAAGACCTAAATAGACATTTCTCCAAAGAAGATATACAGACTGCCAACAAACACATGAAAGAATGCTCAACATCATTAATCATTAGAGAAATGCAAATCAAAACTACAATGAGATATCATCTCAAACCAGTCAGAATGGCCATCATCAAAAAATCTAGAAACAATAAATGCTGGAGAGGGTGTGCACTGCTGGTGGGAATGTGAATTGGTACAGCCACTATGGAGAACAGTATGGAGGTTCCTTAAAAAACTACAAATAGAACTACTATATGACCCAGCAATCCCACTACTGGGCATATACCCTGAGAAAACCATAATTCAAAAAGAGTCATGTACTAAAATGTTCATTGCAGCTCTATTTACAATAGCCCAGAGATGGAAGCAACCTAAGTGTCCATCATCGGATGAATGGATAAAGAAGATGTGGCACATATATACAATGGAATATTACTCAGCCATAAAAAGAAACGAAATTGAGCTATTTGTAATGAGGTGGGTAGACCTAGAGTCTGTCATACAGAGTGAAGTAACTCAGAAAGAAAGACAAATACTGTATGCTAACACATATACATATGGAATTTAAGGAAAAAAAATGTCATGAAGAACCTAGGGGTAAGACAGGAATAAAGACACAGACCTACTAGAGAATAGACTTGAGGATATGGGGAGCGGGAAGGGTAAGCTGTGACAAAGCGAGAGGCATGAACATATATACACTACCAAACGTAAGGTAGATAGCTAGTGGGAAGCAGCTGCATAGCACAGGGAGATCAGCTCGGTGCTTTGTGACCGCCTGGAGGGGTGGGATAGGGAGGGTGGGAGGGAGGGAGATGCAAGAGGGAAGAGATATGGGAACATATGTATATGTATAACTGATTCACTTTGTTATGAAGCAGAAACTAACACACCATTGTAAAGCAATTATACTCCAATAAAGATGTAAAAAGAAAAAAGCAAAAGCAGATGCAGGAAAAAACAATGGTGACTTTTTAAAGCTCTCATGAAAAACAGTAAACAGAATTCTAAGGTAGCCCTCAAGATTTCTTGCCACCAAAGATAAAGAAAGCAGAGAAAGATGTTAAATAGTAAAATAAGATGGCAGACAATTCTAAACTCATTCCCACAAAGGGGTAGCTAGAATTGTTAGATTTTAAAATATATATACCTGGCATGTGTTGGTGTTCCAATAGTGTCCACTCGTTTTCTAGAGTATTTTAAAGAAAATTCCAGGCAAATTTCAACGCATCTCTTGTAAAAGGAGTCTCACCACCACCCCTAGTCTTGTAAAAGCACATCAGAAACCTTAACCTTCACTAAAGTGATGCTTTTTATTTAATTTTACTCAAAAGTTTTCTTTACACTTTCCCCCTTTTACTCTTTGGTGTCTTGTAAGGTTGTAGTGGACTCTTGATGCATGGCAATTCAGAGTGTAACTCACACCTTCTCTTCACCTGTCCTGATGATAACCCTCCCAGTCTTTCAGTGCTCACTTACCCAAATCTCCTAAATTTCATTTTAAGATACATCTTGGGGCTTCCCTGGTGGCACAGTGGTTGAGAGTCCGCCTACTGATGCAGGGGACACGGGTTCGTGCCCCGGTCCGGGAAGATCCCACATGCCGCGGAGCGGCTGGGCCCGTGAGCCATGGCCGCTGAGCCTGTGCGTCCGGAGCCTGTGCTCCGCAACGGGAGAGGCCACAACAGTGAGAGGCCCGCGTACCGAGAAAAACAAAAAACAAAAAGATATATCTTGGCCCAGCATCTCTCCTGTCTCCTGCCTT